AAGGCTAGAGGGCGGGGCAGTCCAGCTTGGTCCTTTTCATGAGAGGCGAGGGCCTTTGTGATTTGACGTCTCATTACTGTTGGAAGGCGGGGCCTTGTGATTTGACTGCTTGTATAAATGTGCCGACGACCTGAGGAGGAGCAAAGAACCGTGCGGTATACTTAAGTTTTCCACTGGAGTACGACGGAGGAGCACGAAACACGGCAGCCCAGTGCCATATCCTCTACTCTCTACTCTTATTATATATTACTAGCAAGGGGCATTGTTCTATTAGCGATAAAGAATGATCTAATTTGCTAGTCATCTCATTTTTAGCATTGTTCTATTCATGCCTCGCAGAGAAGGTGACACGTGCGGCCAAACACCCGAAGCAAAATAAAAAAACACAGGAGCAAATTAAGAAGGAGGATTATCACCCCCCAAAAAGAAGGAAGACGCACACACAAGTCTGGGGCGCTACTCTCACTACATGAAGGGTTGCTTGCCGCGGAGTCGTAACTGCTTCTTCATCGCCTCCACGACCTCCATCTCCTTGCGCGTCTCCTCCGCCATCTTCATCATTGTGTCCATGACGCGGGATTTCTCGACGCGAGCCTTCATCATCTGTTCCACGGCCGCATTACGTACCTTGACAGCAACCGGGTGCTCGATGCGGAGCTTCGCCAACTCCTCCTTCTGTTCCATGACGAGGGCTTACAACATCTTCATCGAGGAACTACTATTCTCATGCAGCTTCTTCCAGCCGGCGTTCTCCTCCTTCAGCAGGCCAAGCTCGTGGCAGAGCTTCGCCTTGTCCTCCTGAAGCTGCAGGATTTCGCCGGTCGCCTTCTTCTCCGAGGCAATGCTCTTCTTCAGCAACATCACCAAGACGGCGGTCAACTCCCCCTGCTCATTGAGCTAAGCGGGCATGTCGTCGATGCTCTCCTTCAGCAGCTCCACCAAGCCGTGGATGAACTCCTTCTACTTATTGAGGTGCTTATTGAGCTGATCGAGCATGCCGTCGAGGGATAACGACTCCAACGTCGCATGTTCGCCTCCGCATCTAGGGCGCTCCTGGGAGCCATCGCCTGCCCGTGAGAGATCTTTCGAGGTCTCTGCGTGGCGGCGAGCCCTCTTTTTTTTCTGCAGCCTTGGTTGCCGCTCCCTTGTTATGAGTAGTTCTCGACCTAGAGCTCTGCACACCGGCCATGGCAAGGACAGATGAAGAAGGAGGACTTATGAGGAGGAAGGTAGAGTAATTTTCGGTTAGGTAGTTCCCCTTTTTATAACCTAAGTACTAGCACTAGTACTAAAACCTGCATAGTGGGAACACGTTCAGGTTTGGTACATACTGGTAGGTGTGAGCAGGCTTGCACTTAATTGTTGCACTAGTACTTTCGAATGTGATGGGAACAAGGTAAAGATTAATTGATGATTTTTGGTTTCGAGGCCCAAAACAGCTCCCGATGAGGTTAGTGGAACATAAATTCCAAGTAGATTACACTGCTTAGATGCGTAAATATTATGTTACTGTCAACAATTGGCACAAAATACGAAGGAGACCAATGGAAGTACTACTAGCAACCCATGATTTAACTACTCGCATGCGCGCAGTACTACGCGCATGTCTTTCTTCCACCCTCACGTCCACTCAATTTGCATGCGCTGTATTAATTGACCATCAATGAAGTGAAGGACTTTACACACGCCAAATTATCACATGGGTGGATCTTGGTACAAAATTGCGTCCGCCCCTGTACCCGCGTGTGCGTGCGAGGGAATGAGTGCGTGTGTGGCATGCGTGCACATCTTCGCTTCGTGCATGTACCTCCAGTGCGGCTCAGGGAGGACGAGTACATTCTTCTAGAACCAGCAGCACGTCACTGTGATCAATCCACACAAGGATGTCGCCAAAACGCATCCACATGTGCCACGTGGCTTCATGAACTATAAGAGAGACACTGTGTAGAGTGCCATTGTGTTTTGCACATACTCGAAGTACTAGTAAGGTACACGTGCATTGCACGCGTCAGATTTTGCAACCAAATTATGAATAAATACCACACTGTAGCATGTAAGCTCTGAGTCATATATGCCTAATGTAGACCTTCATTTAATTCTTATAGTTCATCTCATTCAAAATCAATTAGTTTTTATAAAAAACCTAGGGCCTCTTTGATTTGTAGGATTTCCAAAACGCGTGAATAGGAAGAACATGGGATTAGAGTGGAATGTCGTCTTGAATCCTACAAGATGGTACGAGTGTTTGATTGTGCATAGAAAAAACGCAGAATTCTTTCAAAGAGATTTGAGTGGATGGGATGTTTCCTACGAAATGTAGTGCAAATGAATCATATGGAAAAATTCCTATGGTTTACAATCCTACGAATCAAACAACCAAGATAGGAAAAAATCCTAAGGATTAGAATCCTCCAAAAATCCTTCGAGAATCCTTTGAATCAAAGAAGCCCTTAATCTATTTTATGATTCATGGAATTGTGCGTTGTAAAGCATAAAGTAAAAACAAATATTGGCAATTCAGCTAGAAAAAAAGTTTGGGCAGTTATGATACAGAAGATTCTAGAACAAAGGAGAACCACTATTGTATTGAGATTTGTGCATTATGCTGAAGTTCAACCATGGAGTCTGCTAGATTGTACATGTGGCAAAATCCGGCGGGGGCTAGAAGATGGTGTGAGGGTCCGAGTGGAGGTAGACTATGAAGAAGTGCACAACTGCAAGATCGATATTTAGAGAGAGGGGGCGAGAACATGCGCTCTTGCACGTAGTGGTGGAGCCATGAAAAATGTCCCATGAGCTAGGGGGGCAAGCATTGCTAATCCTTTACGAGGAGGGCCAATTCATCAACTTAAACCATTTTTACCAGCATTTGTCTAATGATCACATTCATATTAGCCTTGATATATAGTGATGTTAGGGGGGGGCAGGGCCCTTGCTGCCCCATGTCTTCGCCATTATGCGCGCGTCTGAGAGAGGAAGCGGAAGGCATGGATGATAAGAGGGGGGCGTTGGATATATAATTAATGTGGGTGTATTAGCTATATATGTAATCCTATATAGAGAGGTATAGATTGATCGATGTGGACGTGGCAAAGAGGGTGAGACCTCACTAGATATATAGATTGATCGGTTTATGTGGAAAACTATGATAGACCTAGCTACACACACACACACACACATAGAGGAACATCAATCGTTGCGCATGCACGTGAGAGATAAAGAATGCCCGATATGATGGAGAGGGGGATGTGTGTGTGTGTGCCTTCATGGGAGACCGACCTGAAGAAAAAGATTGCATGTGTGCGATGGATAATGCCGACTAGTAGTGTGTGTGCATGCATGCACGAGAGAAAGTTAGTGGTACAATTATAAAGAGAAGACCAATGTGTGGGTGTAAAAGACTAGGTGAGGTCATAATCAATGTAAAGTTGAATTCAAATATTTGAATAAGAGATCATGATGTTTGAAACCCATGCATGCATGAATATAACGGAGATCTGCGCAGTGTGGTTTGGAAACGAGCATGTTGTAATGTATACACATCGAACAAGGTCAGACTGGTTTGAATTTGAGATACCGATGGCATACATCGTTAGCCACATTGCATCTGTGCATGGACACACTATTCTAACTAGATGATTCCCCGCGCGTTGCTGCGGGAATTTTTGCCTAAATTTGATGTTATGCGTTGTTAAGGAAGATCAATCCTCCTACTTATATCATTCAAGTTTAGACAAAGAGACGAACAATCAATTACCGCAGTACCAAGCAGTTAAAGTTTTCCAATATACGCTACCATTGAGCTGTTGCCAAGCTTTCAAATAAAAAATAGCTTCCTAATTCTCATGTTTTCATCCATTCTTTAAAGGAGAATTTGAAACAAAGTGAGTAATAGAGAAAATTTGAAAGACCGCACTTGTCTGAAATTTTAGATCTCATAATATGCATAATCATTTCCATGTACATCTTCATCCATGCTTGAGTGGAGAACTGTCAAGTTGAAGTTGTTGCATGTTAGGAAACTACATAATCAAGACAAAAGCAACATGTGAACATCAAGATACTTTTGTTATTTAGAGAAGAAACATTTATTTTGCATTAAAATCAATTAGTATTAGAATAACTTTTGGATTTCACAAAGTAATTTCACTAGACATCTTTAGCAATATACAATAGTAAGATGTTGGAAAATGTGATCCTAAAAAGGGAATGGAAGAATAGGAGTTGCGAGTGGATGATAGTGTTGCTTTTCCCAATGGCTCAGTAAGACGACTGATAACATCTAGGATTTTGCGCAAATCGACTATCAGGGGAAATTATATCAAACAATAAAATTTTGGAAGTCTTAGTTGATTTTTTAGGATTATGGGTGTACGTAAATAGTCGTTACACTGGTATCTTTGTGAAACTCTTTCAGTGTGGCTGACCAGATAAAATGAGCAAATGTAATGCAGAATGTTGAACAAAGTTTAACAATGTTCGTAATTCCTGTTCCCACAAAACTTCATAATTTAGGGAGCACTATATAGTTTCAGTGATCTGTGATCACCCATGTTAAAGAAGAAATTGTATAATAATTTATTTATGCATCCATACTATATGCATTTTTCCTAACATCTACATGGAACACTTATACAAAGGGAAGTATAGAGAAAATTATTGTGGAATTCATAAAAAAGGAAGCAAGCCATAATGATCTGAAGTAAAACATTTATATGACTTACCTCAGAAACGTAAATATGCATATACCTTCAGACTATTGCATGTATTGGAAGTAACCTTCAGAAAGAGAATGTAAATTAGAAAAAAGTTAAGAGTTAGTCCTCAGCAAGTAAGACATCACTTTGAAATTGCTTCAGTTATTTTGGTTACCAGTTATTCCGAAGAAAATGATTACCAGCTTGCACACAGTGTATAATTTGTCCTCCAGAAGCATGAAAGAAGACGACGACTTCAGTACCCTTTTCAGGAAAGAAGCAAGATAATTTATTATGGTATATTTACATATCATGATCTTTAACAAAAATAGCTTGAGATAGATAGATATGGCACTTATAGATGGTGCTACTGGAGGGCCCGTAGAAGTTGAAAATCAATGAGAATAACTTGCTTCTTGTTAACTTAAGACATGGAACCCTTTTTTAACCATACGCAAGAACTGAATGTGTTGAATTAACATTAATAAAAGTACAAACGACCTTAAAACCTTACAACGCTGTACAACCGAGGGAACAAACAACAACTAATGAACATACTAACCAAGCACACTATAGCAAGGAAACAACAGTAAATGAAAACTTTAGCAACTCACCTAGCCACGTGAAATAGGAGAATGACCCGACTGTATAAATAGCCATGAAAATGTGCAGAGGTTATAGAATTCCTAAAATTTTGTATATAACCTACAAAACTTTCAAGCAAACATATTCGTTCGGATCACCAAGATGGGAAAGGCCATGCTAGCTGGCGACTGCTACTGTTGCATGGCAGCTACTTTTCCGTGTATACCTAGTATCGTACCTGAAAGAAGTAGGCTTCACAGCAAAGTCCTGTAGCGATGCATAATGCACACCATCATGCTTCTTCCCTCTCATATCCTCAAGACGTATATCATTTTGAAACAGGTTGAATCAAGCCAACCCAAACTGAAGCATTTATTTTAGCTCGTCCTTCTATACCATCCAAAATTTGGAGAGTCACAAAAACAGCTATCCGCTATCAAAAACACCAAGAGTCTATCTAATCAGCCTCTAATCACAGGGAGAAAGATGGCGTGCTTGCTCACAAACACCCATACCTTAGCATCAGCTTGGAAAAGCAATTCCACCATTCCTGCAGTATAATCTGGTCGGTGAATTAGCCGGGGCGGAACCTGCGGGAGGAGATGGATCTATCGCCCCTCCAAGCCGTCGCTCTAAACGGAGCCCTGCCCGGCCTCACCACCAGCCCGACCCTCGGAGGACCAGCACCACGGGCATATGTTACCCGCGTTCAGGCAGAACACCGACAATTTCTCCGGCAGGGGCAGCGCGATAGCCGCCACATGCCCTATCCTTCTCATCTCTTCGATCGGCAGGTGGAAAGAGTCGAGCAGCCACCCGGCTGTTGGGCATAGGTACATGTGCTGGCGGGGACTGGATGGGAGAGATTAGGACGTCTTAGGGAGGAACATTTGTTTGGGGGGCCAAGAAGGCAGACCGATGGAGGCAGAGGACGGGTTGGGAATTAAAGGAGGAAGTGGAAGTGGAATGGGAAGGGGGACGTTTTGTGTGGCTTGCGAGAGCACTGAATCAGAGTGAAAGGGTGCTTGTGAGGACATATTGTATTGGGCCTTTAGCAGTAACTGAAGGCTTATGTGGCAGGGTTGCGGCATTGGTTGGTCCCGTATGTAAGTCCCTAACAAAACGCTGATGTGGCAAGTGTGATTAGGTGGATAGGCTGCATGTTGAGAGAAATAGCTTAGTGGGGATGAACTTGTAACACCCCGGACATATCCGCCGGTGGTCGTCACTCCTGGCGGGATCTAGACTGGCCCTACAGATCAATAATAGTCTTTTCTGCGCACTTTGTCCTCACTCGTGCGCACCCGGGAGCAACTTCGCGGTCGGTCACCCATCCTGAAACTACTCCAATCTGAGCACACTTAACTTTGAAGTTCTGTCCGAATGGGCTTCCGGAAAAGAAGGGATATTGATATGACTAGTCTATCATCCCTAATAAGCCAGGCTATCACATACACCCCCACTCAGAGGAACCAACGTCCTCGTCGGGCCACATGAACGTTCCCTCTTGGAACATACGTCTGTGCATCCAGTCCGGCACATATGTCATGCCATGTGCCACGACGGGTCACAAACATCATGAACAACATGATCGTGCACCTGTCCGCAAACATCTGTGTAACCGCGAGGGTCGGCTCTGATACCAACTTGTAACGCCCCGGACATACCCGCCAGTGGTCGTCACTCCTGACGGGATCTAGACTGGCCCCACAGATCAATACTAGTCTTTTCTGCGCACTTTATCCTCACTCATGCGCACACGGGAGCAACTTCCCGGTCGGTCACCCATCCTGAAACTACTCCAAGCTGAGCACGCTTAACTTTGGAGTTCTATCCGAATGGGCTTCCGGAAAAGAAGGAATTCCTTATTGATATGAGTAGTCTATCATCCCTAATAAGCCAGGCTATCACAGAACTATTTAGGTATTATAGATTGGAGATGATGGGTGGCTTTCGTATCACATATCTATATCTATACCCCTATATATTATATTTTATATTTTTTATATAGTGTGCGGATAACTTTAACTTTGAAAGGTGGTCGTTGGATGAGTTCAATCCGATGGTGCAGAGCTGGCAAATTTGAGCACTACTGGCCGTTGGATATCATCTAGATTCCACTAGATTTTGCCACATGTACAATCTAGAAGAATCTATGGTTGAACTTAAGCATAATGCACAAACCTCAAAACACAAGCACTTCTTCTTTGTTCTAGAATCTTCCATATCAGAATTGCCCAAATGTTTTTCTACATGATTTGTTTTTACTTTATGCCTTACAACGCACAATTCCATGGATCTTAAAATAGATTAGCTTTCTTATAAAAACTAGATTATTTTGAATGAAATGAACTATAAGAATTAAACGAACATATACATCATGCATATATGACTCAAAGCTTAGATGCTATAATGTGGTATTTATTCATAATTTGGTTGCCAAATCTCATGCGTGCAATGCACATGTACCTTACTAGTCTAAATGGTGTCTGTGTGTGTTGTGCGTGTTAAACACATTGTACATAGTATATCATACTAGTCTAAATTGTCTTTTTTTATTTTGGGTACACGTTAAGCTTGTTCTCCCAAAATTTCAAGCCGCTCCATGTTATGCCGAAATTTCAAGCTAGCTTCTCTGTCTATCATGCTGCGAAACTCCCGCCTCTTCAACCCGCGCCTTGTTACCCAGAAATATTTAAGACAAATCTTTGTCTCGTTGTGCTCCGACAACTCCCTCCATCTCAACCCGCACCTTGCTATTCCAAAATTACAATGCGCGCGAAAACTCCCACCTCCTGTGAAATCCCGACACACGAAGTGCCCGTGATACCCTTGAACCGAAAGAACCGCCTCGAATCGGTGGGGGTACTTTCGTAACTTATCCCACATTTCGGACAAGCGCATCCCTAAGCCATGGTTCCCCCACTCCCATCCCATCCACCCACCCATTCATACACCGAGGCCGGCAAAACCCGCGAAGCCCCACACCCCCTCCGTTCGCCACCCAGCCGGAGCCTCTTCCCCGACGACGTCGTCCACAACGACACCTTGACGTCCCTCATTGATGTCTACTACACAACCTTCTTCTTGTAGACGTTGTTGGGCCTGCAAGTGCACAGGTTTGTAGGACAGTAGCAAATTTCCCGCAAGTGGATGACCTAAGGTTTATCAATCTGTAGGAGGCGTAGGATGAAGATGGTCTCTCTCAAGCAACCCTGCAACCAAATAACAAAGAGTCTCTTGTGTCCCCAACACACCCAATACAATGGTAAATTGTATAGGTGCACTAGTTCGGCGAAGAGATGGTGATACAAGTGCAATATGGATAGTAGATAATAGTTTTTGTAATCTGAAATAATAAAAACAGCAAGGTAGCAAGTGATAAAAGTGAGCGTAAACGGTATTGCAATGCGTTGAAACAAGGCCTAGGGTTCATACTTTCGCTAGTGTAAGTTCCCTCAACAATACTAACATAATTGGATCATAAAACTATCCCTCAACATGCAACAAAGAGTCACTCCAAAGTCACTAATAGCGGAGAACGAACGAAGAGATTATGGTAGGGTACGAAACCACCTCAAAGTTATTCTTTCCAATCAATCCGTTGGGCTATTCCTATAAGTGTCACAAACAACCCTAGAGTTCATACTAGAATAACACCTTAAGACAAAAATCAACGAAAACCCTAATGTCACCTAGATACTCCAATGTCACCTCAAGTATCCGTGGGTATGATTATACGATATGCATCACACAATCTCAGATTCATCTATTCAACCAACACAAAGGACCTCAAAGAGTGCCCCAAAGTTCCTACCAGAGAATCACGACGAAAACATGTGCCAACCCCTATGCATAGGTTCATGGGTGGAGCCCGCAAGTTGATCACCAAAACATACATCAAGTGAATCACGTGATATCCCATTGTCACCACAGATATTCACGGCAAGACATACATCAAGTGTTCTCAAGTCTTTAAAGACTCAATCCGATAAGATTACTTCAAAGGGGAAACTCAATTCATTACAAGAGAGAAGAGGGGGGAAGAAACATCATAGGATCCAAATATAATAGCAAAGCTCGCGATACATCAAGATTGTATCATCTCAAGAACACGAGAGAGCGAGAGATCAAACACATAGCTATTGGTACATACCCTCAACCCCAAGGGAGAACTACTCCCTCCTCGTCATGGGGATCGCCGGGATGATGAAGATGACCACCGGAGAAGGATTTCCCCCTCCGGCAGGGTGCCAGAATGGGTATAGATTGGTTTTCGGTGGCTACGGAGGCTTCTGGCGGCGGAACTCCTGATCTATTGTGCGTTCTGGAAGTTTTAGGGTATATGGAGTTATATAGGCAGAAGAAGCACGTCAAGGGAGCCACGTGGGCCCCACGAGGCAGGGGGCGCGCCCTAAGGGGGTGGGCGCGCCCCCACCCTCGTGGGCAGCTCCCGTATCTTCTGACATGGGGTCCAAGTCCATCAGGTGTGTTTCCTTCCAAAAATAACTTCTCCAGTTGATTTCGTTCCGTTTCGACTCCGTTTGATATTCCTTTTCTTCAAAACACTAAAATGGGCATAAAACAACAAATCTGGGCTGGGCCTCCGGTTAATAGGTTAGTCCCAAAAGTAATATAAAAGTGGATAATAAAGCCCAATATTGCCCAAAACAGTAGATAATATAGCATGGAGCAATCAAAAATTATAGATACGTTGGAGACGTATCACTCATCCACCGTACCGGATGATGATCCATCGTCGATATGGTCGTCTCGCCGGTTCAGCCACCCATCCACCATCTCCAAGGAGCTTCCTCGACGTTCCCCTCGTCTTTCACGCCACCTCCATTCCCACACCGTCGTCTTCACCTGCACCACCAGAAGAGCATCATTATCACCGTTTCCTCCGATTAAGCCGCGGCCTAATCGGCGCCACCAAAGAGGTTGTACACTAATCGCCACATTTTCTTCTTGATTCGATCTCACAGTGCAGCCGGCGCTCGGTCCCGAGCTGACACGATGCGACTCCATGCACGACGGCGTCACCGACCACTTCCTCCACGGCGTTGCTCCCTCGGCGGTGATGTCCACATCAGTAGGAGCTGCTGCTGCTTTAGCTCTCGCTCGCGCTGCTGCTCTGCTCTTGCTCTCGGTCCCCTACCTGGTGTGCTCTTGTTCTTGCTCTTGCTCGGGCTGCTGCTCTCGCTCTTGCTCTTGCTTGCGATGCTCTTCCGATTTAGCTACACTTCAGTGGACTGAATCAACTTTTGGGTCAATCGATTTTTAGGGGGTGGGGGCTCGCCGGAGTTAAGGAAGAACCAGCCGCAGCGGGGAGGGGGCTCGTCGGAGAGGTACCCCACTATCTATCTTAGGGTTCAGGGTGGGGGTGGTGGTCACC